TAGATTCATCATTTGGTTTTAAACTGTGAGAGCTTGGTGAAGGTGCGGAGCCATTGATTCAGCTATACAAGATTCTTCTGAAGGCTCCTGGGGTATACGGTGCTCGGTTCAGTGGTGCAGGTTTCAGGGGATGTTGTCTCGCCTTTGTAGATGCAGAAAAAGCCGAGGAAGCTGCTTCATATGTGAAGGATGAATATGAAAAGGCCCAACCCGAGTTTGCGAAGAAACTGAGTGGAGGAAAACCTGTTCTGATTTGCGAAGCAGGTGACTCTGCTCGTGTTCTCTGATCAAAACGAGGTTTTATTTTCCTCGATAAACCCGGAATTTTGTCCTTCGAATACTTTCACTCGTATACACTCTTGTTTGTTCATCTCTTTTTGTTTCTCTGGTCTCTTGTTGGGAGTTTCGTCATCATGATAGATTTTACAGGCTTGTAGAAATGGAGCAATGCTTGATACATTTCTATACATTGTTTTGTTACTAAAGACCTCGACAATACATAATGTAAATCGTCTTTATTTTTTTGCTTCTAAAAATTGCAAACTTTTGGGGAAAACTAAAATGTTGCCAAAATTTTGAGAATTACCTTTTCACCCAACATTTTTCTGGACCGTTTGTGAACTAATTTTATTTTCCAACAATTTGTGAACTTGATTAATCAAACAAAGACGATTTTTTTTCTTTTTCTGGTTTTAAAAATGCCATTTATTAAACGAAATAGAAACACAAATGGATTCACCAATAGACGTTAATGAAATTAGAAATCGAAATTGAGGACTAATGAGTATTACAACATTTTAAAATAAAATATTAGTAAATTTAGTATTATTGAGATAGTTTTTTTTGGTTTGGATACAGCAAAATTTTAGCTTATGATTTGTGTCATTGAAATTGGCGCCTGGGAAATCTTCCGGCGTCGCTAGGGTTTTAGCTTTTAATTTCGCTCTTCTAAAAATCACTAAAACCCATCCACTGGGTATGACTCCACTTTGCCACTGCACCGTATCCATCACTAACCCTAA